TTTTTTTTTTTTTTTTTTGTTTGTGGTTTTTGTGTTGTTTTTTTTTTGGTGTTTTTTGTTGTTTTTTTTTTGTTTGTTTTTTTTTGTGATTTTTTGTTTTTTTTTGTGTGGTTGGTTTTTTTGTTGTTTGTTTTTTTTTTTTTTTTTTTTTTGTTTGTGTTTTTGTGTTTTTGTTTGGTTGTTTTTGTGGTTTGTTTTTGTTTTGTTTGTTTTGGTTGTTTGGTTTTTTGTTTTGTTGGTTTTTGTGTTTTTTTTTTTGGTTTTTTTTTGGTGGTGTGTGTGTTTTTTTTGTTGTGTTTTTGGTTTTTTTTTTTTTTTTTGTTTGGTGTTTTGGTGGTGGTTGTTTTTTGGGGGTTTTTTTTTTTTTTTGGTGGTTTTTTGTGGTGGTTTTGGGTTTTTTTGTTTTTTTTTTTGTTTGGTGGGGTTTTGTTTTTTTTGTTTTTGGTTGTTTTTTTTTGTTGTGTTTTTTTGTTTTTTTTTGTTTTTTTTGTTTTTTTTGGTGGGTTTGTTGTTTGTGTGTGGGGTGTTGGTGGTGTTTTTGTTTTTTGTGGTTTTGTTTTGGTTTTGGTGGTGGTTTTTGTTGATTTTGTTTGGTGGGTTGTGTGTTGGTGTTTTTTGATACTGTTTTTGTGGTGGTGTTTGGTGTTGGTTTTGTTTTTTTGTGGGGTGTGGTGGTTTTGGTTTTGGTGTTGTTTTGTAATGGTGTTGGTGGTTTTTTGATTTTTGTTTTTGGTGGTGGTTTTGGTGTGGTTGTGTTTGTTTGTGGTGGTTGTGTAATGGTGTTGGTGCTGTTGGTTTTGGTGGTTTTTTGCTTTTGGTTTTGGTGGTAGTAATGGTGGTGGTGCTGTTGGTAGTGGTGGTGGTGCTGTTTGTAATGGTGGTGGTAATGGTGGTGGTGCTGTTGGTAGTGGTGGTGGTAATGGTGGTGGTAGCGGTGGTGATGCTGTTGGTAGTGGTGGTGGTAATTTTGTAAATTCATAGACGCGACTTTATTTCGACATACCAGGTTCGATTGAACTGCTGGCGATTTGACAGCAGACCGCTTTAGTTTATTTAGACAATGGTACGAACATTTTCTGCTCAGTAGATATGACAAACCGCTGGGAAAAAGGCTTCTACCCTTTCCCCCCCCCCCCCACCAAAAAAAAAAAAAATTCCTGATGAAACCACATAGTCAACAATTGCTTATCCTTTAGTTGATCTGAGTAGAGCTGATTCAAGAACCGACATCATAACACTCGGGGCATTTCCATAATCGCTTCGCCCCTGTCTTCAGCAGCCAGAGCAAAGTTCGAACACCAATGGTTCCAGTATCATTCCGACTCTTTGAGCGCCGAGCATCGGCCAGATCCCCTCGTCACTCCCCGCTGATCCTTGAAGAGGATATACAATTAACTCTTTACTCAACGTTATACGGGTTAGATTAGTAAAAGTTTTACCCGCCTGAAAACTGAAACAGCAGACTAATTGGGCACTGGCTCGCCTAGGAAGAGACCAGCATAAACTATCAGACTGTTCCTGTCCCCAATTCAAAGTCAAGTCAAGGAACCCTTTTCACGCCTTCAGGCCTACTGGGCATATAGGGCCAAATGGATATTTGATAAACTTATCGACACTCGGTGGGTAATGTTATCAACACCACGCCGGCCCCCTTTATTTTCCATGACTATAGCTGCTAGCCATTTATAGCTGGGTCGACCTTGGCGCGAAGCTTTTTTTTTTTCTTCAAATTTAAATAAAGTCTGACTCTCTCAGGATCCAAACCCATGATCTTTCAATCTGCTGGTGAGTGTCTAGCCGCTACACAACGGTGGTTTCCGTCCCAAATTGCAACGTGCCTAGCAAGCCGGCAGTTGTATAAGTCGCTATTAAACAAAGAAAACCTCGACAGTAAGCTACAACCCGGCAATAGAGTGACGGAGAACCTAATATCAGCTACTATTGATTTGTTGCCTCCTTGTACTATACCCGTAGCTATAGATCAATATATTGAAGAAAACGTGTAATAAATGCAGCGAATAATTGTATAAGATCACAGTTAGTACACCTGCGGCTAATGCGTTGCGTACACGCTTTATGATTCTTACATGTCGGCTGCAGGCGAACTGACAGCAGACCGTCTTGCGCTGGTTTCGACAGTAGTATTAAGAGCCGACCGTTTAGAAACAATAGCAAACAAAAGAAGTCTCGGGTAAACATAACATTTTCATGTTAGCACATGCTGACCTTGAACTTCTTGGTCATGAGATGTACAGTTTAACCAGAGAAGACCGTGGATTTGTGGGAAATATTTATTTTTATGTCAGTTTGTTTAGAATAAGTGAATAAATATTGATTGTCCTCTTCTAGTGTGAATGATATATTTTATTTCTTGTATTCACCTTTCTATGTTAACAGTGCCTGACAATTAAATTATATGGGAAATTGTTAGAAATGACAATAAGCATACAATCAAAATCCATATACATAAAAAAGCACATGATAGACAAAAACTGTTCTGTTAATTTTGAACGGCTGTGATTTTCAAGACCCACATCCACAGACATGGCAGTTTGTTAAATGGAATGGCTGGAACCACAATGTCAACTCCTGCAGGTTGCCTGGTGGTGTAGCTAAAGAGTTCTTGATAACCCAGCAAGGAAATAGTCGTAGCTGCAGATGTTTTTGGTAGTCCAAGGGAGAGTACTGAGGTGGATGGCCAGTCAAAGATGAAGGCGTAAACATCAGTGCCTGACGAACTAGATTTAGTCGTATACCTGCAAATGGAAAACATATTTACATAAATGAAACGATTTCAGATAGATATAATAACATTTTGTTTCACAATAGTGATTGGCCATAGTGTTAAAATATTTGTCCTAAATATAAATATCAGTAAAAGATGGCAGAACTGACAGAGAAATAGAAACCAGACGTCAGAAGGCAAGTTTACTTAAATGACAGTTATCACTATTAGGAAGACATCAAACAGAACAATAAGTACCAAAAAAAAAAAAAAAAAAATTATAAACAGCATATTCCTTCCAACATTGAGCTACCAGTGTCAAACATGGACACTATCTAAGGCCTATGAACGCAAAATCACCATTTGCGAGATGTGATGCCTGGGAAAAGCCTGTCCAAGACCGAGGAAATAATGGTACCGTCAGACATATTGTTCGAACAACACATTGTACTAGATTCATCGAGAAACAGGACGTAAATTTGCCTAGAAAAACCACACAACAGCCAGGGGCTGTTAGGGTTGGTTCTGCAACGTCCTGTGAAGGATACGCAACTACTTATATATATATATATATATATATATATATATATATATATATATATAATATATATATATATATATATATAAATATATATATATATATATAAATACGCAACTAACATTTATATATATATAAGTTAGTTGCGTATCCTTTACAGGACGTTGCAGAACCAACCCTAACAGCCCCTGGCTGTATATATATATATATATTATATCTATATATATATATATATATATATATATATATATATATATATATATATATATATACACAGCTGTATAAACCAGTTATTATGCATTTTAACGTCGCACAATGCAGACACACGGTGAACTCTTTCATTTCTATCTTGTGCAGTTTTCCACTACATTTCTAAGCTAGATCCATCACCTATGTCTTCTCTCACCAACATTCTTCGTAGAATTATTCTTGAACATTGTCTCTTCCTCAATCCGTCACTCCCATTTCAATTCCTTTGTGATTGTTTCTTTGTAATTTATTAACGGATCTTAAACCATACAGTTAAATATTTAACCCGCAGAATAGAGAGAGAGAGAGAGAGAGAGAGAGAGAGAGAGAGAGAGAGAGAGAGAGAGAGAGAGAGAGAGAGAGAGAGAGAGCTCGTTTAAACGTGTGTGTGGGACAATACCTTTTTTGTTGTAACCTGAACTCATTTAACAGTTCACTAGATAATTATTAAAACTTTATAGTTAATAATTCTAATGAGAGAAGTGTGCTCACCTTACTCTACTGACGCTGTTACCAAGCAAATTTGAAGGTTAAATAATCTTCATCTGCGAGAATATTTAGCATTTAGATACTTTTATTTTGACAATCCTTCCACATTTTCACCAGTGCTACTTTGGGGAGGGGGGATGGGGGGGGGGGGGGGGGGGCCTTACACATTTTGCTTGCGTAGTTGGCTAAACCGGATTGCGCTGTGATCGGGTGACGAACTCCTTGTGGTCCGGGTTCACGCCCGGCTGTAAGCCACATTTTTCCCAGATTTACGGTATTTATCATGGAATCAAGGCCGAAAGGTTGCAATATCCATAATACCGAGCCTAAGAGTTAACAACTCATAGCTTCTGGATACTTAATAAAAAAAAAAAAAAACCCGCGCTGAGATCCAAATTAATTTCGGCTTCCTATAAATAACTATTACTGCATAATAATAATAGTAATAATAAATAATTAAAAAAAAAAAAAACACACACACACACAATGATTTAACACTTCAGTGTGTGAAACAGTACATACCAAACATCTTTAGTCAAAGTATCATTTTGATAAGTCCAGGGCTTTGAACTGTAGATGCCCTCACCATTGACCTTTAGCCACGACCCCAGCTGTCGGAGACGTTCCTCATAAATTGGAGTGATGTGCCCATGACTGGGAGGTCCAACATTCATCAGCATGTTCCCTCCACAGCTGCAGATATTACAAACAATTCAATCAGTGCAAATGTGAATCTAAGTTCAGACTTCATGGCAACTGAGCCATTCCATAACTGCTCAATTTGTGCGCCAATGAAAACCTTACAGAACACCCATCATTGCCTCATTCGATAATAGAAGCAGTAATTTAAAAAAAAAGAGAATGAGCAGTCGCACACGCAATAATACATAAGGTTCCATCAGCTCTGTTGAAAAAAGACCATCTACCATGTTTTGAATCTGCAGCTCTCAAGCACGTTACGCACGGTCAAACACACTCCACATGAAATTCCCGTCTCAGAGTGTTGCACGGTGTGCTCAGCTCAACGGTACTACATCAAAATCATCATGAAGAAGGCCCTTTGCAGAACATCGCTCTCCTCGCGGTCTGCCTGAAAAAAACTCGGTCTCTCGCCAGCTCTCCCGCCTCGTGTTCTTTCATATTCAAGGAGTCACTTATATCCTGTGCCCATCTTCGTGTTGGTCGGCCCCTGCCCCTTCTTCCTGGTACTATGATTTCTGCTATTATTTTGTTTTTTCAATCCGTCATGGCGCTTGATATGACCAACATATTTCAGTTTCCGAGACCTGATTCTGTTTATTAGCCAATCTCTTTTGATCAATACAAGTGCGATTAATAACACAGTTTTTTTAAAGAACTTTTGTGAGTAGGTGATCGAGAGATTCAAATCATAGTTTTGACACACTATGGGATATGGGTTCTAATCCCCAACACAAACAGGGATTTTTCAAAATCTGTATAAGAAAGAAACTAAATATCGTGACAAGTAGACAGCAACCCTTCATCATCATCACCATCATCAGTTTTTTAGAAAAAACAAAAACAAAAAAAAAACAAAAAAAAAAACGTTCCACCAGCATTCCCGAAGGGGGAGATTAAGGTTATAATTGTGACTAGTTCATGAGCTCGAAATAAAAAGGTATAGCATAGCTCGCCCCGGCGTAATGCTGACCACATCACCCATCTTGTGCCGTTGGTCTATAAAAATATAGGTCTAGCCCTATATGCCCTATACGCCTAAAGGCGTGGAAAAGGGTCCTTTACTTTTTACTTTTATAGCTCATCACAAAAAACCCTGAAAAGGACTCCAGCAGTGTTAATTCGATCAGAGGAGAAAGACCATAACGTTGTGAGCCAATGGGCGGCCCTTAACAATCTGTCTGGAAAACAAAAACTTCTGATACACACCAATAATTGTAGAGTATACGGTTCTGTGGTAGTATCTATAGGATGATATTACACAAGTAAAGCAGCCATTTGGCTCCAGTGGCGCATCGGACTTATGAAGCTAGACTTGCAGTCTTTTGCTTTTTTAAGATCAGCTGGTAGTCGACGGGAATGATACGATAGTTGTGTTGAATGTACTAAACTCTCATTATCATGTGCCGTACCGGAAAGCGTAGGCTATCATGTTACACAATCTCACACGATCACCAGAATCATGGATCAGTCAGTTCAATGTTTTTGTCTCACCCCATCCATTTAGCAGACCATCCAGGTCTTCATCTCTTTGCCGTCCTCTTCCTTCCTTTCCATCATTCTTGCTAGTTGTTACAAAATTTTCCAGTCCCTTCCTTCTCATAACATGTTCAAAAATATTGACTGTCTACTCTTAATTGTTGTGATAAGTTTACGACTTTCATGTCATCTGTCTCGACGAGGACTCGATAAAGCCATACTTTACTCGTCACACTGATTGTATCAGTGTTTTACAATTAGACATTGAACGGTGCACGAGAAAGAAATTTTAAATAAAAAGAAATTTACGAAAGATAACGAGAGAGAGAGAGAGAGAGAGAGAGAGAGAGAGAGAGAGAGAGAGAGAGAGAGAGAGAGAGAGAGAGAAAGAAAGAGAGAGAGAGAGAGAGAAAGAGAGCGAGAGCGCGAGAGAGAGAGAGAGAGAGAGAGAGAGAGAGAGAGAGAGAGAGGGGGGGCAGGGAGAGAGAAAAAGAGAAGGAGCTGATAATGATATGGGATCTAAGTAGATACAATATGGGAGACGAAGGAGACACTGAAATGGGGCAGATATACTTGACAGTAATAGTTAAAGTCTGTAGCAACAAGTATACTAACATACCTGACAGTAACATATCGGCAAACATGCCTGACAGTAATAACACCACAGTCTGTACTAACATATTCGAAAACAAAGCTGACAGTAATAACATCACAGTCTGTAGTAACATATCCGCAAACATACCTGACAGTAATAACACCACAGTCTGTAGTAACATATCCGCAAACATACGTGACAGTAATAACACAACAGTTTGTAGTAACATATCCGGAAACATACGTGACAGTAATAACACAACAGTTTGTAGTAACATATCCGCAAACATACCTGACTGTAATAACACCACAGTCTGTAGTAACATATCCGCAAACATGCCTGACAGTAATAACACAACAGTTTGTAGTAACATATCCGCAAACATACCTGACAGTAATAACACAACAGTCTGTAGTATCATATTCGCAAACATGCCTGACAGTAATAACACCACAGCCGGTAGTAACATATCCGCAAACATGCCTGACAGAAATAACACCACAGTCTGTAATAACATATCCGCAAACAGACCTGACAGTAATAACACCACAGTCTGTAATAACATATCGGCAAACAGACCTGACAGTAATAACACCACAGTCTGTAGTAACCTATCAGCAAACATGCCTGACAGTAATAACACTACAGTCTGTAGTAACATATCGGCAAACATACCTGCAGTAGTAACACCACAGTCTATAGTAACATATCTGCAAAAATACCTGACAGCAATATCACCACATTCTGTAATAACACATCCGCAAACATACGTGACAGTAATAACACCACAGTCCGTAATAACACATCCGCAAACATACGTGACAGCAATAACACCACAGTCTGTAATAACACATCCACAAACATACCTGATAGTGATAAAACCACAGTCTGTAGTAACATATCCACAAACATACCTGATAGTGATAACACCACAGTCTGTAGTAACATATCCACAAACATACCTGATTGTGATAAAACCACAGTCTGTAGTAACATATCCACAAACATACCTGATAGTGATAACACCACAGTCTGTAGTAACATATCCACAAACATACCTGATTGTGATAAAACCACAGTCTGTAGTAACATATCCACAAACATGCTTGACAGTAATAAAACCACAGTCTGTAGTAACGTATCCACAAACATACCTGACAGTAATAATGAAAGTCTGCAACAGCTCCTCAATGGTCAGGTAGTCAGACAAGGCAGCGTTCCTTCTGAACCCCCAGGAGTGTTTATCGATAGTCATGGCATTGACCCACTTATGCTTCTGAAGAACCCCTGTAACAGATCATTTACAGGCATTTCAGCGATGTCTGTGTGGGACAGCAATGTATGTGTGGGACAGCGATGTCTGAGTGGGGCAGCGAGATTGCTAATGCTAGATGCGATATCGTTATGCAGTGCTAGATTTCTTCAAAGTGAGGAGAGGCCATTCTCCCGACTTTAAAAAAAACAAAAATAGATACGCGTTTGACCACAACTCACTTATGAGTCACGAGATAGGGTTTAGTGACAGAAACTTGTCATTATCTTCCAGCCTCGTTCTAACAGCATCGACTATATCAACTCTGTCCGTGTTTCTTCCTGCATGTATTTGGGCAGTAGCTCTCAGCCTTCATAATGCCACGATAATACAGTTCCTCATGTTGTGGCGACCCTTTAATACATTTCCTCATGTTGTGGCGACCCTTTAATACAGTTCCTCGTGTTGTGGCGACCCTTTAATACAGTTCCTTATGTTGTGGCGACCCTTTAATACAGTTCCTCGTGTCGTGGCCACCCTTTAATGCAGTTCCTCATCTTGTGGCGACCCTTCAATACAGTTCCTTATGTTGTGGCACCACCCCCCCCCCCACCCCCATCAACCGTACAATAATTTGTGTTGTTACTTCATAAGTTTAATGTGTTTTGCGATGGTCTTTGACGACCTCTTGAAAGGGTCGTTACATTCAAAAATGGGTCGAGACCCATAGGTTGAGAACCGCTGTATTAGGGTATTTATATGTCAGATTGCCCGCATGATCATTAAAACCGACGATTTTTTTTTTTCCCTCCCTGCCCCCAATTTTTTCTTTCGATCCTTCCTCACACATCTGCTGCAACACCTTAAATTACCCTATATATATATTGTATAGTACTAAGTTGCGTTAAGATCCGACAATAATACACCCAAGACATTCCCAGAATCCTCCCATGTTCATCTTTAACAGCTAAGCCAGAGTTGAAAAAATAAAAAGTAAAGGACCCTTTCCCACGCCCTTAGGCGTATGGGGCATATAGGGCTAGACCTATATTTTTATAGACCATAGGGCACAAGATGGGTGATGTGGTCAACATCACGCCGGCCGCCTTTACTTCCCTGGACTGCACCCGGTACCCACTCAAGGCTAGGTCGACCCGAGAGCCAAAGTCATTTATGACAAAAGTCCGGCTCCGCCAGAAAGCGAACCCACGACCTTCCGATCCGTGGCGAGCGTCTAGCCGCTCCGCCACGGGAACTTCCAGCTAAGCCAGAAGTTCAGTAATGAATGGTGCCAGTTGCAGTCAAGGTCTGAGTGTAGACGAGATCTACTGGTTACTGTCCTTCATATCATTCCTTCCAGACCGCGATGATCTGTTAGCTCTTCCGTGTTGTCCACTTGCTTTCAAAGGGTCTTTATAATTGAATGACATTTCAAGGGTAAAGAAGACAAGAGTAAAACTGACCTGGATTATACCTGTCTCCGCAAGTGTATACATCACCGTGATAGCAGCTAATGTTTATGCCCCATCTGTCATTGACTATCACAGTGTCCTTAACTGGGCTGGAGATTGTCAATGAAAACATATATCTTACAAGTTATGACTCGTTGAAAAATATAGTATACACAAACACACGCTATTTACATAAAACTAGAAAAATTTAGTCACGGTTGGATAATTACTGTTCATTTATGAACACTATTGAAGAAAACGAATGTGTTGAATGTTGAGTTAAGAATCGGCATCATAGCACTCAGGACACTCCCATAAATGCCCCGTCCCCATTTCAGCAGCAAGTAAAGAGTTCCAGTCTGGATAGCCCAAGTAACTGTCTGATTGTATATCAGTCTCGCCTTTCGTTGAGTGTTGAGCGTCGGTCAGGTACCCTCGTAGCTTCTCGCATCGCCATTCTCCTCAAACGGTAATGATCTATCTGTGCCTCCGCACTGTTCCCTCGCTCCTAAAGGGCTTTTACAACATCTAGCTTATCATTCATCAGTTCATCACCAAGAGGTGCAGAATTTTCCAATCTATCTGCCTGCTCGTTTCCCAACAGACCGGCATCATCTAGAGAAAAAAAAATCAAAAGGACGCTAAATACTCAAGCCCTCTGACGCGATGTTTGGCACTCTGTACGGAGCATGCCTTCTGCACCTTTCTCAACATGCTCTGTGAGACAGTTACAATGACGACATGTGTGTTCAGTTGATTCTCAAGCCAGCGGAATGAGAATTACTGTAATGATGGGAAATCCTAAGGGGTTCCCAGAATCAAGTCGGTAAGGTCAAAACGCCAGATAAAAGAGGGAAACGTAGAAAAAGTGTGTTTAGAGTTTTCCGAGTTTGTGTGAACGGTTGCAAGAAAACCCGTGATATGGAACCGAAGGTTTAAAGGTGAGAGAGGAGACAAGGGAGTTGGTGTCTGATCGTGAGACAGAGAGGTAGCTTAAAGGGAGCGGTGAATCTCGATTGTCAACTGAGGGAACGAAGACTTGTAATGCAAGGGATGCCTGAAGAGAATAGACTCTGACGTATATCTACGAGTGACTGTGAACATTTGTGCTGCTGTGATCTAGATGTAAGATTTCTGCAGGAAAGGTACTATCAGATTAAAAGGTAACTGGAGTAATTGTCTAGCTGTTGTCCTGTCATGACAGTCAGTCTCGAGCGTGTTGTAAACGACCAGTGAGAAGCTACGACAACAAACAGAACGATCCATTTGCTCGTCAGTATTTTGACTATTTCCCTGTGTTTGTACACTTTACATCACAGCAGAGGGGTGTGGGGTGGGGGGGGGGGGTCGCTACAACATGAGGAACTGTATTAAAGGGTCGCCAGAACACGAGGAACTGCATTAAAGGGTCGTGGCATTAGGAAGGCTAAGAGCTACTGCCCTAATACATGCAGGAAGAAACACGGACAGAGTTGATATAGTCGATGCTGTTAGAACTAGGATGAAAGATACTGACAAGTTTCTGACACTAAACCCTATCTCGTGACTCATAAGTGAACAGTCGTATAGAGACAAAGAGCAATATTGTCACAATTACAAATAATTTATTTATGTATAAAAAACAAATCACCAATGACGAAGTTCTCCATACCATCAGTCAACACTTCGATAACTATGAATCACTTTTAATTACAGACAGAAGATGGAAAATTAAATGGCACTGACAAATGATAGACCTGCAATCTAACTGCCTCTCCAAAACGATACCGAAAAACCCGGTACCATTCACGAGGTTAACAACATTCAAGAATTACTGTTCAAAATGTATTGATACAATTTAACATTTACCTGTCTGTGTACAACCAAGCCAAGAATTCTTTCGACTTCCAGTAAGTATCAGGAGCTTCCCAGTCACCATCAGACCAGACAACTTCAGGCTTGTAATTGTTGACAAGCTCGTAGAGTTCGGGTAATGTTTTTTGCTATCAACAACAAAAGTGTGCTCTAAATAATTGTTCTAAGGCATCACTTCTGTCAAACACAATAACTGTTTTAAGGCATCACTTCTGTCAAACACAATAACTGTTCCAAGGCATCAGTTCTGTCAAACACAATAACTGTTTTAAGCCATCACTTCTGTCAAACACAATAACTGCTTTAAGCATCACTTCTGTCAAACACAATAACTGTTTTAAGCCATCACTTCTGTCAAAAACAATAACTGTTTTAAGCCATCACTTCTGTCAAACACAATAACTGTTCTAAGGCATCAGTTCTGTCAAACACAATAACTGTTTTAAGCCTTCACTTCTGTCAAACACAATAACTGTTTTAAGCCATCACTTCTGTCAAAAACAAAAACTGTTCTAAGGCAACACTTCTGTCAAACAGAGTATTATTTTAACTAAATTATTGCAGCAGTGCCTTCTTAAGCCACGAGGAAGAGGAAGAAGAGGAGGGGAAAGGGAGAAGGAGACGAAGAAGAAGGAAGAGAATGAGGAGGAGGACAGGAGGAGGAAGATTCAAGAAAAAGTTGAAGAATAAGAAAAAGAAGAAGTAGAAAAAGAAGAAGAAAAGAAGAAAGGGGAGGAGGAGGAGTATGCGGAAGAGGAGGAGGAGCAGGAGGTAGAGTAGCAGAAAAAGTAAAAATAAAAAAACAAGAAGAGAAAAAAGAAGAAAAAGAAGAAGAAAAAGAAAAAGAAGAAGAAGAAAAAGAAGAAGAAGAAGAAGAAGAAGAAGAAGAAGAAGAAGAAGAAGAAGAAGAAGAAGAAGAAGAAGAAGAAGAAGAAGAAGAAGAAGAAGAAAAAGAAGAAGAAGAAGAGATGAAGAAGAAGAAAAAGAAAGAAGAAGAAGAAAAAAGAAGAAGAAGAAAAGAAGAAGAAGAAGAAGAAGAAGAAGAAAAAGAAGAAGAAGAAGAAGAAGAAGAAGAAGAAGAAGAAGAAGAAGAAGAAGAAGAAGAAGAAGAAGAAGAAGAAGAAGAAGAAGAAGAAGAAAAGAAGAAGAAGAAGAAGAAGAAGAAGAAGAAGAAGAAGAAGAAGAAGAAAAAGGAGAAGAAGAAGAAGACGAAGAAGAAGAAAATAACAGACTCTTTTAAACGAACAAAATAAAACTAAAATGTAAAACAGTTATTATGAGGGCTACAGTAAAGCCTCACCAAGTTCTACTATAGTGTCCACAACGAGCCGCAAGAAGAACAATGGACTGTTTCTCTTATCTGAGCTGTTACCTGAACGTCTGATCATCTAAACGACTTTAAAAAAAAAGTTTCCTAAATGTCAATCCAACACAAAATGTCGCGGGGATTGGGGGGGGGGGGGGGGTGCTCCTTGGTCTCGAGGCATGGTGTCCGCCGCGAGTGCTAGAGGTTCCGGTCTAGTAATTCCCCCTGGTCTCTGGGGAGTGAGATCGGACGCCCGTGTGCATTGTTACGGACGTAAAAAAAATCCCTAGGCAGTTAGAAATCGAAAAGCTTGGCATAACGGCGCTGCCCGGGGAAAAAATTGGAGTGAACAATCTACCCAAAGTATTTCAGTATCCTCGCCGGTGCTACATGTTGACCATAGAAGCCATTTATAAAATATATGCCTGGCACTATGTGCCCAATACGCCTTAACAAGTAGAAAAGGGTCAGTGATGCTTCTTGACATTGTAGTTGACCGGTGTTTCCTATCTTTATATGAATTTATCGATGAATGCGTTTGCTTCGCTTTATATTACTAGCATAATTGCTTTTTATTTTAACGATTTTATAAGCTTCAAATCCCCCCCCCCCCCTTTTTTTTTCAAATACGTGTCTGCGTCTGTTGCGTGTGCATTGCGAACTCGGTGCGTAATTCCAAGATACATGATTTCAGCTGCAGGCTATTTGGCAACAGACCGCTTTATGTCATGTTGATAATGGATCGAAAGTCCAGACTTCTTGATAAAGTAATGAGCGTAAAAACAGCGAAGTATAACCAGAGAGACAAACTTTGCTGGGATTGGTTCTGCAACTTACTGTTAAGGATACACAGTTTTATTTCCAATCCAATCCACAGTATGTAAGAGAGAAAAAAAAAATACCCGTAAACTATTAGTAGCTTGAACAAAACAAAACCTTACATTAACAAAATCTTGTGTTTTAAATGCAGACTTCTTGTCAGCAAGGTACAGTGGGTGAAACCATTCAAACAGGGAGTGGTACAAGCCAAACCTCAGATCTGTATGTTCTCTTGTGGCATTCATCAGTTCACCTAGAAACATTTTGGTAGAGATTTAGAGATTTTGGTATTTGCGTAATACTTTTTTTTTCTAGCCGCGTCAGTCTCCCCTCACGAGAAAACCACCCGGCTCTGAGTTTGAATGGCTCATGCGGTGTAAGTTCCTCCCATGAGTTCAGGACCGATCCTGGCACTTCTGGCCAGACCAGTGCAGCAGAGCTACACTTTGAATTTGGCCAAAAAGCCAAATGTGGAATTCAATATGGCCGGTAGTTTACGTGTGAGCTGGTGAAATACCTTATGTAATAATTCTGTAAGTGTATAGCCATCTTTACGTGCACGACTACTTCGGTCAACAACAAACTGCATTTCTGGTGGCGACTGTTGGCTTTGAAACATGCGTTTACTACGTGCGCATATTTCTGCATTTATTTTTTTTGTGTGGCTGTATTTTGTAACCATTGTTTATTTAATTTTATTTCGTTTATTCCACATCACATTTTTTAAACGTTGCTTACGTCACCCCTTAGAGATCTACATACTCTCCTCTCCTCGTTGTTACGTTTGTGTATTTAACTTATGTTTGAAAAAGGCTACCCGGCCGAAACGTTACGTTGTGTTGTTTTGTGCACGTTTTTCTGCTTCCCCATTTTCTTAAGCTTTTTAGGGTTCTTAATTTATAACGTACCCCAAACACGAAATGCCCGTGGGAAATCCACAGCTGACCTGACAGTCCATTATTTAAAGGGGTGGAAGTGTGCTGTTGTTGTTGTTGTTGTTTTTTTTTTTTTTGAGTGTTCATCTAGTGTCTTCTAATCCTAACCCTAACCCTAACACTAACACTAAACTTGGCTGTAGATAAATCGAGAGAAACTACAACCTGAACACCCTAGAATTTATTGAGAATGTCTCCCCTGACGTTGTCGTGACGTCAGGGGTAAGTTATAAATTAAGTACCCTTTTTAGTCCAGTTTCTCTATCATTCTTAGATTAGCTTGACTGCAGTCACCCCCAAATTTTCAGCATATATCTGGATTTTTTGGGAACTTATTGTCTGTCCCCCAGTTTTTCAAATGCGACAGTGAGAGACATTTCGTGTCTCTCGTGACGTTGTCGTGACGTCAGGGGTAAGTTATAAATTAAGTACCGAAATTTCATTTGATTTTCACTGGCATAGGATCGGAGCAAGAATGGGGAAACCCGATTGCACTGAAGTTGAAACCTTGACCAAGACTAAGATGTACGGCTAAGAGAGACCTGATAAGGATATAACTAGCAGCCCCTTCCACCTCCCTCCCCCAGCGCTAGCTCTCACCACTTAATTAAGGAATAAAAGCAGACAAAAAATACACGTAGAAGGGAACTATGAAGTGAAGGTGAAAGATACAGAGGTCATGGGGCGAGCTGCAGTCGATAGCAAAGGATAGGAAGAGTCGGAGTTAGCTGGCTGACAAGCAATGCTCCATTGGAAAATAAAGGTCAGAATAAGAAGAAAGACGGAACAGCTGCAATTTGTAACATAGGAGCAGTACGCGATGATAGAATGAAGGCATCAATCAAGAATTGACCTCACTGCACTCACAACATTCCCACACGTGCTCCGTTCCCTTCTTCAGTAGCCAACGAAGAGTCAAAATTCTAGCAGTACCAGTTGCAGCCTGATTAAAAGTCAGCCAATAGTAGCACTACCAAAACTACTACTACTACTACTACTACTACTACTATTACTACTACTACTACTACTACTACTACTACTACTACTACTACTACTACTACTACTACTACTACTACACAACTACTATTACTATTACTACTACTACTACTACTACTACTACTACTACTACTACTACTACTACTACTACTACTACTACTACTACTACTACTACTACTACTACTACTACTACTACTACCAATGCTAATTCTAAAACTATTGCTAATACTAGAAACAACAATGATTTTACCATCACCATCATCACCAAACAGTAGGTCGTTTACAGAACGTCACTCTCCTCATGGCACGCCGTAAAGTCTCGCTCTAGCCAGATTTCCAGCCCTGTGTGCTTTAACAACCAATTCATCTTCCAGGTCTTGTATCCAATTTTTCGCGGAATCTGTATCCCCCTCACCGGTCTCTCTAAGCCACCATGAAGTTTAACATGACCAAAATACTTCAGCCATCGGTACAGGATGCTGTTTATGAGCCAATTTTCCCCGATGCTCCGATCATGCATGCTGTCGTTGTTCTCTTAGTCCATATTCTGTATACATTCAGTTCAGTAGCTCAGATTCTCTAAGCTACGGGAAAGATGCATAATTTCATTTTTACATTAACTCGACTGCAAATACTGTACCATAGGTTCTTTGTCGTATTTAGTCTCTACGTTACTAAAGCTAGTAAGTTGTTTTGTGTGTGTGTGTGTGTGTGTGTGTGTGTGTGTGTGTGTATGTGTGTATGTGAGTGCAGACGCCACTGTCATACTCAGCCTAAATATTTAAAATCTGTAACACTTTCAATGTCTTTATTATCGATTCTCATATGCGGTTGCTATGCTATATTCATTACGGACATTATTTTTATTACCACCTCCACAAGAGGCCGCATTAGCGCAGTCGATAGGAGACTGGCTTTCAAATCCAGCTGCGACTCGCTGCAGCCCACGGACAGTGTTCAAAACCTGGCGGTTCCCGGGGTTGATCCAACCTCTAGACAATGGGCACCAGAGTTAATACTGGGGTAAATGAAGAAACGTCGCCGTAGCTATGGAGTTGCGTGCGGACGGCGGCACAGGCGGACAGTTTCTTATCAGCTGTCCGTCCTGGAAAGACAATTTTGTCACGAGATGATGTTCTCAGGAATTGTATGGAATGTGGGTGGCGTCAGTTTTTGGATTCAAGGTTCACCATCTTCTCTGATGTATATTTTATACATGTGTGTAGAGCAGTCACAATTTAGTCGTCAAAATGGTTTATAACCGTGTGCAATAACGCCTTGTTCAAATCTCCTGACTTTAAACTTAATACCACCACAGTCAATCAAATTATTATTTCGCTCTTCTTGAATTCTTCTTACCTCTCTTCCTTCTTTCTATCTCTTTGTTACATGATATCATTTTCTAAAAAAAAAGATCTAAAAAAATGTACAAACAGTGTTCTTACCAACAATGTCCCGATTTGGACCAATGTCTTGTGAATTCCAGTTAAACGAGTATTTAGAAGGCCAGTTGGTGAAACCTTCATGGTGTTTGCTGACAAATACAGTATATCTGTAGACAATTAAAAAAAAATAAATAATTTATAGTGTTCATGGGTGTAATGAAGTCGCAATTCAGTCGTCAGAAATTCTTCAAATGCGATATATCTTTAGAGCTGTCTTTACCTTGTTGAAGCTGGAGTTTCTGAATGATTTAGTGATTTATGCCGACGTTAGCGTTGCTTAAAGCATGTTTTCTAAATCTTAACAAATCAAAAGGTAGACAACAGGCGAAGGATAGATACCCCAGTCCTCCAGATTGGGATTCGAAGAGTGGGGGCTGACATCGCACCTTTGTAAATATTCATTATGTTAGGACACAGTCACCAGCTGGACACAGGCCAATCACAGATATAAATAGAACCGGGTCATACCTGCAGCAATGAATCTGTAGGACTTTGAAGGGTGAAGAAGAAGATAAAGATTTTGCAAAGAAAATGCGCCTTTTCAATGATTGTCAGTGACGTGTTTCATTTATTTGTTGAAATTATAATTTTCTTCGTTGAGATATATGCAAAGGTTGTTCCATAACAGTAAACGCCGTTGAAGTGTGACATGTTGAAGGTTCTTATTTCAAGTCATTCCTATTGGAGGTGACAGGTTTAATTTCCGGCACGGTAACTATAGCTTTCGATTTTTATGTTGTCTAGTGTGTTCTTCTATCTTTCTACTTCTTTCTATGAGTGCCGATCAATACACTTTCTATTACTTGATTAATTCATTGTTTTAAGTCAGTCGCGCATGAAGCAAATCAGGCTAGACTCATTTTTTGTTTGTTTTTCAAATAGACCAAAAGGTCCACAATCGGTAATAAGGTTAACATAACACTGTCTGTCTTTACATCTCAGAACATTAGCTAGTACCCATTTTGGTCTTGGTCGATCTGGGTGCCAGTCAGTTTTGAAACAGAAATCAGTCACTATGCGGATTCGACCTTCGGGCTGGTAGGCGAGCAGTGAGTAAGAATCAGGCTGTGGTAGTCATTTTTATCAGTGACAACTTTTTTACCCCAACAATTCACGGCAAATTCTGTACCTATTTTCTAGGCTTTGTCTACCAGAGAGAAATATTTGTTAAAAAAAAAAAAAAAAACCAAGTCGCTTGCTAGATATTGAATATTGCGCATCTAGCCTCTAAACCTCAGCGGATCCTATTTATTGCAAAACTTTCCCATGGCATGCAGGCGTTGTTGGTAATAAAAGAGCTGACAGTCTGGCAGGTGCTGCATTAACTAAAGATGGCCGGCCCATGGATCACGCAGACATTGCCATTGCTCTTCGAGAGATAGGACGTTCTGAGGATTTTGGAAGCAACCTGTCCACATCACTGCTAAGAATACGAACATTGGGATTAAAGATCGGCACAGCCAAGAATGAGAAGCACACCAGACGCACATGAAGTCTTGTTAACCAACATAGGACTGGCACTATTAACCGCGTGACGCTGATAATTATGTTGAGAGGGGAATCTGAGCGCCTATGGATGTATCCGGAGTGCTGTGAAGATAATCTCATAACCATTATTTATACAATAACAGAGCTTAAATGATATGTATTTCCTCTTTAGTATATAGCAAACAGTCACCACAATTCATGGGCTGTTTGTGCTTTTACTAGATAGTTTTCAGTTTAGTAGTTTGCCATTGTCGGTGTCTATGGCTTCGAATGTTAAAACACAGCATCTACTGCAAAATCGGCTGCAGGCGTCGATTCTGGCAACGGATTCAGCGTCGTAGTATATAGTTTATCAGGATAGGCTAACGCGATCAACAAATGCCCGCAGAAGTCGGATGTGTTGGCCGAAAGGTGTAATTATCGCAGCCATGCTGTAAATGGACACAACGCAATTACATCTCGGATTAACGCAGAAGAAGAAGAAGTATATAGTTCAGGGGTTGATAAACAAATTCCTGAACGTTATACTGCATAATATCGTGACGACTGAAAAGATCACTGCCTGAGAGGCAAAGAAGCAACAATCTGCACAGAAATAAACTAGATTTGTAAAATGGATGTGCATACAAAACTAGAAGCCTGGAACAAGTCCAAACTTTAGAAAGTGATCAACATCTAGGACATTCAGGATTTACAGACAGTGAACGCAGTAGAGGACGGTAAACACACTGCAGTACGGCCAACACAGCTATGGTTGCCGAGTATCCGCCGGGATAAGTGGACACCTCTGGGGTGCCCTCTGCTGTTAGCAGGAGCATCACAGAGCAGGGCACTCACTTGCCCTAGCAATCGAAAAAGTTGCTAAAGGCTGAAGACGTAGTCTAAAGCCATGTGGATGTGGAATTCAAAGGGAAACTACCACATTACTATCCCAAGAAACTCATCATGGAAGCTTCTCAGAATATCTTGGACAAAGAAGAGGAGAAATACTGACATCTTGAACGATCTGCACAGCAAGGAAGATTGACTAATAAACAGCATCCTCTCTAGGCCATTATAATCTTCTTTCTCTACTGATTCCGTTGCTTGTTCCCAAAGGCATTAACAACATCTGTCTTCTCATGTATCAATTCACTGCCCAGGGGTGCGGATCCAACTAATCAAAAATTACATACTATTTCGTCCTTATTAGGACGAAATTTTTTGTCATTTGAAGCCCCACTCTGGTTTTTGCCAGGGGCCGCAATATAGGCAGGCCATCAATATGGCCAATTGTCTGAACGCGGTTTCTGGGACCTCTCCACGGTGATCCTCATCCGCATGGTGGCACTTTGTGTCATCGGGTGTTTGTCGCTTGTGTGATGTCCTGGTGGGGTAGAAAGTCAGTCAGTCAGTCATCCAACTAATTTGTCTCCCTGTTCACTACCCACCACGCCGTCAAGGCCTGTAGAAAAGATCCAAAGTATGCTCACCACCCGTTACCTTTCCAGTGAAGCTTGCCACTCTGCTCGAAGCATCCCTGTCTTCGCTTTTTTTAGCACGCTTTCAGAATCTGTTACAATTACGACATGTGTATGCATCTTGTTCTTTAGCCGCAGCTATCGCCTCCACCCCTATTCTCATGCTCGATGTTGTGTTTTCGTATGCTAGGCTGTCTTGTACTAAAGATTTTCCACTGGC